CGCCGATCCCGACGTGCCCTGACACACCTCCCCACAAAACCTTGAGAAAACTGCGACTTTTTGACACACCACACACGCCAAAGGTAAGAAGGAATCGCCCACCAGCGATTCATGTTTTTTATTGCCCCAAGGATGTAATCTGGCGATTTTGTTGAGGACTCTCGGCGAATTTTCAACGGCAACAGTTTTTGCTATGTCAGTTGGCAACCCAGTGACCCACTAACGACGGTGCTGTTGCATAACAGTCTCCTGTACTGGAGCACTGCTGTAATGACGAAATAACTGCCCTGTCATAAACAATGACTGTGCTTTTTTTTTCTTTTTGCATTTTCATCACAAACAACTGTTAATCTATGCTTTATTTTTATTTAAACCAATCTCAACATTTAGTTTGTGTTCAGGTTGAGACTATTTTTTTCACCAATGGATTACCCCCTTTTTTTTTGAAATCCACAGAAGTAGTGCTGTGCGATATGGATACAACTGTACATCCTGATTTTAACATTCCTCTTGATATATTATTTTCATTAAAATGACACGAAGCTGACAATGTTCTCCTTTCTCCATTTGTGAAACATTTTTGATTGAAAAAAACAAAGTGAATAAAAGAAAAAAATACAACAAATCAAATCCTGTGAGGGGGGGAAAAAAGCAATTCTTGTAGTACAACCAGTTTTTAAGGGAAGTGCATTATTGTTGTGCATACCAGTTTAATCACTAATCATTTTTATGAATTGTTTTCTTTCGATGCCTTTTTTGATTTGGAACTGTCTGGTTGCTCATAATTTAAATTTCTCAACAGTTTATATCCGATTTCTGTAGTCTTCCGCAAAAGCGGACTGATTTATCTTTGTGTTGAGTCAAAATAAAGCATTTGCTTTTACTTTGGAAAACCGTGATCAACTTTTTTTGCCCGTTGTATGACATCTTAAGGACCAAAGCATTAACTGAATCATCATTCAATTATTTCTGTCCATTTTCTGGATTGTCACTTTCAAATACTGTCCTTTTTTTTACAGTGTATGAATGGGTGGAATTGAAAGCATGCTTGTTTGTAATTTGAATCACCGATTAATTGGCAAAATAATCTACATGCTGCATTTGAGGGTAATGTAAACATACCACAGCCAAGCACTAGTGTTGTTGAAGTTAACATGAACAGTCATTCATCGTTCATACAATGTCATTGGAGCGTTCGAGATGTAGGTCATCGAAAGCGGCTCTTGTCACATAAAACATTTTAGCTCATTTTGTTATTATACTGCCCTCTGCTGCCGACTGAAATTGCCGTCAAAGTGCCCCCGGGCTCGCATTGCGATTGTCATGGCTCACCCGTTTTCTGGTTGGGGTCACAAGGTGTTGCAAAGAAGACTTTTGACTTGAGTTCCACTTTCAGCTGCTTTGTGCGGGGACATGGGGACTAAAAGACTGTTTTGTGTGTCCAGAGCCTTCTATCCCGTGTGAGGGCTTCCAGCGGGAAGGGTTCGCTCTTGAAGACTGGCGAACCTGGGGCGATTCTGTCCAAGTCTCACACAGACAGCGACAGTGGCAGGAGACGTCACGCGCCTCTGGTCAACTTCAACCCCTTCACCCCCGACTCCCTGCTCATCCAGTCGGCCACGCAGCAAAGGAACAACAGGAAGAGGCCACACTGCATCGCGTATGTAACAGGGTTCCGTCGTTCTCGCTTTTGCGCTCGCGCAGTTCGCCAAATACGAGGCAAAGCGTGTTGACTTTCGAGGTGCTTGTCACTCCCAATCGCAGTTTGGCACAAAAACAAAAGAAAATTGAACATTGTCTATTCAAGCCATATATTAAATGTAACGTTCCCACTCTTTGAATAAAGTTGAGTTGAGTAGCCCAACATTGCGCGACACTGAAGTCCAAATTCACGCCTACCTGTGAAAACCCTAAAAAAAAATCACTTAAAAGTCTGCAGTATATTGGATGCACGAAAAGATAATACACAAAATAGCGACGGTTTGCTGCAACTTATTTGCACGTAAAAAAGCGGGTGATTACACTGCAGGTTGCTCACCTCCAACCGATGGCTGGGAACCAAGACCTCGTGATTGCTCGTAAACTCTGTCGTGTGCTTGTGAACACCCCCGAGCTCCGCCTTGCCCACCATGCAATCCGCTGCTGCTCCCAACCGAGTGCCTTTTTTTTTTTTAACTTGTTTTAACAAATTCAAGCATTTCAGGATTTTGCTGTCAATACTCTATACATGCTGAGTAAATTGTGTTCTCCACACAGCTCGAGCGGTGAAGACATGGAGGCAAGTGACGTCGAGGATGAAAAGGAAATCTTGCCACCGTCCAAGGTAATTTATGATGGCGGTTATCTTTACGTCACGGTGTCCCTTTTTAATTGATGCCCTGCATCAGTCATCGATTGGGTTCATTAACACACGCTTCTCTTCCAAAGAGGGTCACCATGATGCAGAGCAACATGATGTCGCGCTACGCCTCTGAGTTCCTGGAGCTTGAGAGGATTGGCTGCGGCCAATTTGGCGCCGTGTACAAATGCGTGAAGCGATTGGACGGCTGTCTCTACGCCATCAAGCGCTCCAAGAAGCCCTTGGCTGGATCAGTGGACGAGTGAGTGTCGAGTTTTGAACCACGGGCCTCTGTAAATCACATCCGCGGGCTGAAATTATATGCTTGCACAATTGAAATATTTTTCAGTGTAGTTGTACGGGTCATATTAAGGTTGGAAAAAGTTTTGTTGTTGTTGTGTTTGCTTTTTTAAACACAAAAACCTGGCATTTGATTTGTCAATTAGATATTTTATATCCACTCTATATGCCTCACTCCTATTTAAAGGTATTTTCCCATCGCACTGAGTGCAGTGCGTCGTCGGCCTACCCGTTCATTTGTGTGGGCACGGAAGCGCAGCGACAACGCGGGAGCGTGTTGAAAAATGTTGAACTCGGTCACAGTAGAGCTATGATGACAGATGGGACATCTAAGAGAAGAAGTGGTGACACAATGGTTTTACAGGGACAACAGAGAGTTGTTTTTTTTTTTTTAGCGGCGGTGTCCAGGAAACCGCATTGAGAAAATGGAGTTGAAAATGATTAATGCGGTGGTGTCCCAAGCTATGGCAAAACATGCGGAATGACGTACCATGACCTTAATACATTGAGTATGCCAAGTTCATGAAAGTGGTGTTTTAACTACAAAAAAAAGTTAGCATAAAATCAAATCTAGCATCGTCAAGCATGTGTCACACCTTCTCCTCGTTCTCATTGTGATCAAAGCCTTGACTTTTCGTAATAAAGTCCAAACCCAGCAGCAAAGGCCACCAGGCTACTACCTGTCTAATTGCTTAGCAACCAATGCAGCATGGTCGACACACATGTGCCGGGCTACCGTCGTCCCGGTACAGTCTGGTCATTTCCCATGGCGTTAACGATGTCCCACCTCCGTCTGTCCAGGCAAAACGCTTTGCGCGAGGTGTACGCTCACGCTGTGCTCGGCCAGCACCGGCACGTGGTGCGCTACTACTCTGCGTGGGCGGAAGAAGGCCACATGCTGATCCAGAACGAGTACTGCAACGGCGGAACACTCTCGGACGTGATGGCCGACAATGCCCAGCGCCACGCCCGCCTGTCAGAGCTGGAGCTCAAGGACCTGCTCCTCCAGGTGGCCCGCGGACTCAAGTACATCCACTCCATGTCGCTGGTGCATATGGACATCAAGCCCAGTGAGTTGGCTGAAGGCTTTTATTGTGAAGCAAACAGGGGAAATTGTTTTATTTTGGCAGTTTTTGTATTGTGTGTGTGTGTGTTTTTTTTTTTTTCTCAATTTTTAATTTAATTTTTTTTTTTACACAAGGTAACATCTTCATATCCCGCAAGTCTGTCGGCAGCTGTGACGAGGGCGATGACGAGGATGGCCTCAATACTAATGTGGTCTACAAAATAGGTATGATTTATATGCAGGTTTTTTTTGGACAACTTTGTACTATCTAGACTCTAGAAATTGGCACGGTTATGTTTAAATTGGACATGTTATTTTTTTTTTAGGGGAGGGGGTCACAATCATACAACATAACTTAATCTCAAATAGTCCGAAAGACGTGACGTGGCTTTAGACAAGTGGTCTAGATCATTAAACTCCCCTTTTGGCATTGACACAAAACAATCTCAAAACACCAGTGTATATAAAAATAAATACCTATAATTTTCCTTTATATTATCCAATTAAATCTATTCTATCTTTGCAGGTGATCTTGGTCATGTGACGCAGGCCAGCAATCATCAAGTGGAGGAAGGTGACAGCAGATATTTGGCCAATGAAGTTCTTCAGGAGGTTTGTCATCAAAACTGAAAAAAAAAAAAACTTTGTCGCCATCTTTTTTCAGCAAAGTCTGATTGGTTTCGTCTGGTCTTCCACAGGACTGCAGCAACCTGGCCAAGGCCGACATCTTCGCCCTGGCCCTGACGGTGGTCAGCGCGGCGGGGGCCGAGCCTCTGCCCAGGAACGGCGACGCTTGGCACGAGATCCGACGGGGGAAACTGCCCGCTGTCCCCCAAGTGCTCTCGCCGGAGTTTCTCAGCCTCCTCACGGTGTGTGCGCGACCCCGTTATGAAGACGCCATACGTAGCGGCACATTGGCCAAATTTTGCAACCTGGTGCCGTCAGAGCGGTAGCTTCACATCTGGGGGGGTTATTCATGTTGATTGATTTATAAGGCCAACATCAGAGCCATACACGAGTACAATCTAATCAGTACATCTTAATCAGAAAGCACCTTTGAAACAGGTGCAGCTAAAGACATTTATAAGTGGGTACATTAAAACGATTTGTGGTAAGGCACGTCAGGTAAGCGAGCCAGGTTAAAATTTCAAGTTTTGTGTTTCTGAACAGTATGACAGTAAATCCCCTTTTCTAATGTCATTCCAAGATGTAATGGCATTATCAGTATTGGGAGTATTCAAATGTAAGTGGTTTTACTCGTTCTCGGTCCCAAAAAAAAAAAAAATATTAAAATGTAAGTGGTTTTACTTGTTCTCGGTCCCGGGAAAAAAAAAAGTGTTGCACGTTGATATCCTTGAAAGTGTTTGAATTGAAACCAAGTGCTGCCAGCCCCCTGGCGTTAACTCATCGCGATGATGTCTTCCAGCTGATGATCGACCCCGACCCCACCTGCCGCCCCTCCGCCACGGATCTCATCCGCCACCCGGTGTTGCTGACGGCCACAAAGAGTAGCGCCGACCAGCTGAGAGTGGAGAACAACGCCCTGAAGTGCAAGAATGCCCTGTTGGAAAGGTGAGTGGTTGCTTGACAAACTACAATAAACGACGTTGTTTGTTCACTGGGGGTCGTCGGTTTACGACGGGTTCTGTTTGTCGGGCTGAACCCGTTTTTATGTCCTGCAAATTTGGCATGAAAAGAAAACTTGGTGTAAAATGATGCAGTTAAAAAAAATACTACGTGGACCACCATACCAGTTCTTTGAGCACAATCGACTGTATAACTTTGAAATATTGTATGTGTATTGTTTGGAGCACAATGTTGATAATAAGTGTGTGTGTGTGTTTAGGGAGCTGCAGAAGGCTCAGCTGGCCAGAGGCTCCGCAGGGCAGAAGGGAAACAGCAGTAGCACCTCCAGGCTCATCGGGAAGATGATGAGCCGATCCGTCAGCCTTAATATCTTCTGAACTGTTTTTGTTGTACATAAGTTGAAAAAAAAAGAGAGTTAATATTTGTTCAATCAACACTTTGCCATGTTTGAACTTGTACAAAGTTATTTAATAAAATTGTTCTATCTACACTTTTTTTGTCACTGTTATCTCCGGTTCAAAAGTCATGAATTACTTATTAAATGCTACAGTTTTCATCGTGAATACTTTTTTGACCTGAGATGAGAACATGGATGACGTCTGGTACGTGTCAGAAAGCGTGCACACAAGTTGAATAAAGGCTGCTAGAGTTAAAAAAATTTACACTGCTGAGACAATCAAGTTGGCGAAGAAAAAAGCAGCTATGCAAAATCTTTACGCCTGTGAAGTGTTGTCAGCATGGGCGTGGCTGTCTTGTTAGCAACCTAATTAGAAAATAATTCTACCTTGCCATTGTCAGAGTTGTAGGTCAAATTAAAGATGTGCATGCATCACCAATGTATTAAATACATTAATAATGCATCTGTCATGATAATTATGCTAATTTGAAGAAGAAAATGCGATGCTGTAGGTGTGCAATGCACTTACTTTAAAAGTGTCATGGTTTATTTTGGGTTTACAAAACTGCAATATGCACAAAAATATATTTTGTAATCAACACCAATTGGAATCACTTAACAAAATGCCTTAAAATCCCATAGGATATTGATTAGTGTGTTCCCTCATACTTTTGGGGGTGATGTGTCCCCCCCCCTTCTCTAAGAGGTGAATTTCTGCCAAGTGAAGGATGACTTACGTACATTAAAGTTTTTCTTTTTATCTTAAAATGGCTTACCTTACCTGAATCTTGTATTGCATTGTAGCCAAAAGTACAATGCTCATGGATTAATGCGCCATGTAAATTATTGTTGTGCATACCAAGAGTTAGTTGCCATGACTACTGTTGCTTCTTCTTCATCTTCTTTTAAAGAAGATGAAAAAGAAGCTAGTTCCACCAGAAGTCTAGAAGTAGACTATAATAGACATGGCAACTAACTTGGAGCTGTTTACTTTCCTTGTATTGCCTGAACTGGGCTCTGATTTTTGAGGGACTCTGAATAACCAAATGGCAAATTTGAACAATGTTCTGAATTTCTGAACTGTCTTAGTGAAGCAGGATTTTGTAAAACGGATTCCTCTCCCAAATAAATAAATAAATACATACATAAATAAATTAATTTTTTAAAAAATCCAAATTTCTTGACTGGGAAGACGTAGAAGTTAGAAAAATAACAAGAAAACAAACAAAAAAAAATAGCCAGGTAAAACTGCAAGAGATAGTTATGGCCACAAATGAAAACCCGCGATAAGTGAACCGCAAAGTAGGAAGGAATAGTGTACTCAAGAAAGTGTGATTAACGCAAATCCAAACCTGTCACATGACCTGGCCTGGTCTAGAGAGCGAGAGAGAGAGAGAGAGAGAGAGAGAGAGAGAGAGAGAGAGACTGTTGCAGTGTGTTTTCGAGGCAGAAGGAAGCAGAGCAGAAAAGGAGAGCGTGTCGAAGCAGTTTAGAAGCCGACCACGGTGATGTCTCTGCGGGACGAGTTGTTGAAATCCATTTGGCACGCCTTCACGGCCCTGGACGTGGACAAGAGCGGAAAAGTGTCCAAATCTCAGCTCAAGGTAAAACATAAAGAAAGAAGTACGACGAAACTTCTTCAACAGACAAAAACGAAGCTCGTGGATGTCACGCACCTGCGTGTCATCTTCTTTTACGCACATACAAGGAGATTTTTTTTTTTTTAGATTGTAGTTTGGAGTTTGAACGTCAAACGCGAACGTTTGTTGCTCAGTAAACTAGCAAATGGTCGACAGACAGCAGTTCCAAAAGTTTCTCTGATGCCCTCACGACGATTTATAACTGCTTTTAAAAAGCAGTTTTATTTCCAAATATTCATTCAAAACTAACCAGTGAGCTAAAAGAAAGCCATGAAATATTTTACGCCACATGAGCTTGTTGTTGTAATGACACTTTTTTGTTGTCTTGTTATGAACTGAGGGCATTGAAGCCACAGGGATGCCAGTGTCAGCGGCAAAGCAAAGATGGCGAGCCCACTACCCCAAAAACAACACCCCCCCCAAAAAAAAAAATCCCAAACATCGTTGTTTTTGTCCATTTATTAAATGTTTTAAATTCGAAAATATTTCACTTTTGTTTCATTCAAGTGAGTGCAAGTTTAAACTGTGTTGCGACAATGAAAAACTTTATTGACTGAAGGACTAATTTAATCAGTAAAGTCGTTTTCAAATACAAAAAAAGTAAAAAAAAAAAAAATCAATGTATAATCTTGATAGTGGTTGTCTTAAACTGATTTACTTTACATTACAATACAAATAAAAAAAGAAAAAAGGTATACTTATGAATTAGAAAAATAATGACTTCTAAGATATATATATATATATAAAACACTGAATATAAAAGTACTTTTGTCTTAAATGTGATGTGAAATATAATACATGGAAATATACATATGTGAATTATGTTTTTATTATGAAAACAAGACATATTGTCTACCTAAATAGAAAATAACAAGATGTCTCTGAGAAAAAAATATTTTTTAAAAAGAAAATGTAAAAAAGGTCAATGAAAAATATGTATATTATCTTTTTTCATTAAAAAATAAAAAATAAACACATGTCCTTTTTTTTGTTTTATTAAAACCAAAACAAAAAATCAAAATGCCGTATCATCATCAATTAGAAAATGACACATACAATTTTACTGTACAAAAATAACACAAAAAAGATATATTTTTATGGAATGGAAAATGTGTAATGTTTTTATGTAATGGAGAATAAATAATAGATAGGAACAAAACATATTTTAAATTTAACATTAAAAAGGACATATTTCCTCATTAAATAGGAAATAAATACACCGTATGTGACAGTTACCTTTTTATTTAAGTGAAAATCCCACAGTGGATGTGACACTTCATTTTGAAATCATTTGTACATCGTTTCATTCAACACAGTCAATAAACACAATCATGGTGTATACAAGCTTGTATTCCATGTTGTTTCTTGCGCGTTTTTGTAGGTGTTGTCACACAACTTGTGTACAGTGATGAGGATCCCACATGACCCCGTGGCTCTGGAGGAACATTTCAAAGACGACGACGAGGGTCCTGTTTCCAACCAGGGATACATGCCTTACCTCAACAAGTTCATCCTGGACAAGGTTAGCACATCTATGCACCTTCTCTGGCTATAAAAAGTATACACACCCCTGTGAAAAGGGCATTTTTTTTGTCATGTAAAAAAAAAAAAAAAGATAAATCATTTCCAAACAATAATGTGAACTATAACTTGTAGCACTCGATTGAAAAAAAAAATCTTGAGTGGGGAAGTAAAACTAAACAACTGAGATAATGTGGTTGCATATACGTCCATGACCTTTCATGGCTGGAGAGATTTAACCAGTCTCGTTCAGACGCATGGTAAATGACCCAGCACACAGTGGCCGGCAACCATTTAAAGAAACTGATTAACCCCAGACAAAGTTCAAATGTTCTAATATACCGGTAGTCTGATTTTTTTTTTTTCTTTTCTGATGTTTTTGTAGTCACATTTTAGAGCATAGGTCATGGTCCGCAGCCAGCTTCCAAAGCAACAGAAATGTGATTATTCAAAAGTATCTGTCAAGAAAAGGGTACAAAAGATTTTTCAAGGCAGTAAGATTTTCCAAGGCTGGAAATATACCAAGAAAGGCAGTCAAGTGGAGAAATGATGGCACAACACGGACATAACCAAAAACCAGTTCCTTCCAAAATTTATAGTAAGACAGGAAGGAAACATGGAAGTCTCTCTTCTTTATACCACAAAAATCTGGTATTTGAACAGGGTCGTGTAGACTTAAATCAACTGTGTCTGTCTAGTCTAGTCGAGTCTTGTCTGTCTGTCAAAATGAGTCTGACAGGCTGCTATCAAAAAGTGCATTCATTGCACTGCTTATCCTTTCCTCGTTGAGTTTATCACAGGACCTTGCTCTTGTCCTTCATGGCATTTAAATATTACAATGTTGTCTTTATCCCAACACGCACACACAATAATCCTGTGGATTTGAGTGACTTTTGCTTTTTTTTCCCTCACTGCGAGTGACTTTTGGTGCTATCAGGAAATGCAAAAGTAGTGATGTAAGTTCAGGATGTGTCATCATCGATACGTGCAGATAAAGTCATGGCATCATTCTAGTGAGGAAACGCCACCCTGCTACACAAGGAGTCAGTCACTTTTAGTTCGTGTGCGTGCGTGCGTGCGTGCGTGCGTGCGTGTGTGTGTGTGTGTGTCTGTCAGTGTCAGGGTGAACCAACCTGCTGTCTGGTCACATGACTCAACAAGGCATCCCATTGTGGATATGAATGGATTCCGGAAGTCTTGAAAAAATGTTGGGTCCGCTTTGTCCCCCACATTTTATGTCTGTGCCATTTTTACAGATCATTGGGAAAAGTTGAAAAATGCTCTTTTTTTTTTCCAGGCAAGGTGAAAGATCCTACCATCACAACATTGCCACCCCCTCCCCACAGAAGCGCAAACTTTTCGAGCACAGCTTTTGACATAAAGCTTCCAATGGAGCATCTGTACTTTGAAGGAGCTATTTTTATTTGTTTTTATTTTTTAAAGGACAAAAAGGAAGGGATTGTTTTGCTGTCTTGCTAATCTTTGAGGGAGTCGCCATTCTTAGCCTTTTTGGGAGGCGTACCACAAGTTTCCACACAAGCGCAAAGCGCCAACAGAACACAATAGCGCTTGCATCACATCCTGTCCGAGTGTGTGTGTGTGTGTGTGTGTGTGTGTGTGTGTGTGTGTGTATACTCCTGTAGTCTTAGATTACACATGATGACAAGGAAAGTCATAATGATTTCTAAAAGCCGGTTGACTTCCGGCCCACTCATTTTGTGTCGACATGTGCTCTTTAAGCCAGCGTGAGTGCACACCGAGCCTGCCAGCCGTCTCCATGCTGACGCTTGCGTCCCCCCCTCCACGTTCCTCACATTTTCTCTGGAAGTTCAGCATGGTTTATTTTTGCTGTTGACACAGCCACTTCTCTTTTGTGGCACGATAGAAGGATAGACACTATCATGGAAAACCTCCAGCCAGTGCCTCATTGTTTGCCCACTTCCTGAATTTTGCCATTCAGATTCATGCTTTACTATATTCTTTGAGAAATTAGGTGGGGGGGGGGTATAAATTCATATTCTCCCACAAATATTTTAGCATCTTAACTTGCTTCCAAAACAATGAGTCATTTTTTTGACACATTGGATGGAGATGTTTTTAGTATTTGTTGTATTTTCATCCAAACATCACAAAAATCGCCATCAAGAAATACATATGCCTATTTTTTTCTTAGTTTCAGATACAATTTTTTTTTTTTAAATCACAACAAGGATATTTATGTTGGACAGTAAAAAAAAAAACTCACTGTTCAACAAAAAAATGCATTTTCTTTTTGTGTTATTAATTTTAATGATTAAAAACAATCCATAGTTTTTTTTTCTTTGTGTTGGGTATACATTTTGAAAAAAAAAATGTTATTATGGGATGCCATGATTTGTGGCAACATGACGCTGAAGTTTGTCCCGTATATTAAGAACTTTTCTTCAATTGTGTGTGACAGGTGACGAACAACTTTGACCGGCAGGACTTTGACAGGATGTGCTGGACTTTGTGCTCCAGAAAAAACCTGGACCAGAATCAGCTGCTCATCTCCAACGAAGACGCCTTCAAAATCTGGTGCATCTTCAACTTCCTGTCCGAGGACAGCTACCCGCCGGTCATCGTCACGGAGGAGGTGAGCAGCGTCCGGCGTTTCGGTGTCGCTCTCGTGAATGGAATCCCGCGCGCTCGATTTGGCGCTTGACGGGTCGCCGAGAGTCGTTCGAGAAGAGGAAGTTGGGAACTTCCTCTTCTGTTACAAATGCTGTAAAATTTCAAGCTTTGACAAACACCGATGAGCGCAGGAAGTTTGGCAAAGTACACATGTTGGTCTTTTGCCTTTTGCTAATGCTGAGAAACACACATTCAAACTATTGTTTTAAAAGATAAGGGGAGTGCGTCAGAATACTACGAACGCTGAAAGGCATTAAAATGAAGTTATCAGTGAAAAAAAGTGACTGCTGCGAGACGAGCATTCAAACTAATATGACCGTGCATCAAAAAATGTGAATGCGAAGAAAAGTAGTTTTAGTGAAGGAAAATCATGGATTAAAAAAAAAACACCCGATTGTTTATTTTTATTTTTATTTTTTTTTAGGATGATGCCGATTCAGATATTTGGCAGAATAAAATTACACTTACAGATTGACCTGTGTATTTAAACGTTATGAATGCTGAGAGTCAACCATTCAAAAATTGCAACATAAAACTTTTCAGAAATGCTGAGACCTTTATACCAACTTCCTCCATGATCAAAAGTAGCCCATGCATGCTGCGAGATGAGCCTTTGATGCAACTGTGAAACTTACCCCCCCAATAACATCACCAGTGCTATACCGTGTGGCCTCTCTTACATCATCTCCCAGCATTCGCACCCAAAGTTTTGAACCTCCTCGTTTCCAGATGGAGTACTTCCTCCGCAAGCTGACGGAGGCGATGGGGGGCAGCTGGGTGGAAGAGCGCTTCGAGGACTACAAGCTGCAGATGCTCTCGCAGCAGCAGCAGCAGAGCATCAGCGTGTGGCAGGTCATCGCTCTGGTGGGCTCCGGACACTTCAGCAAGGGCATGGACAGACAGACCCTCTCCATGGGCATCCACGAGCTCCACCAGGAGCTCATCATGGACGTGCTCAAGCAGGTCCGTCCCCATCTGCCCATTCTGAACTTACAGCAGAATTGGACAGTTTTGCAACTTTGAATCGTTTTATCAAAGTGTGGCTCTTTACTGAGCCTGACATGTCCTTTTTTTTTTTTGTTGTTGTTGCATGTTTTGAAGTACCGTATACTCGACGGTGCCTCTTTATTCCATTTTTTTGCCGACTTAAAGTGATGCGCAGGTGTCATTTAAGTAACGGGGCACCCTTGCAGAGAACAGTCGAAGGTTTTGAATTTTGCTGCATGCTTTGAATGGGAGAGAGTCGCACCAGCTGGTGGACCAATCGTCCAGATTGAAACGTTAGTGGAAATTAGTTTATGTGAAGATGTATTTTGTGCAGGGCTACATGTTGAAGAAAGGCCACAAGAGGAAGAACTGGACGGAGCGCTGGTTCACCCTCAAGCCCAACTCCATCTCCTACTATGTGAGCGAAGATCAGGCTGAGAAGAAGGGGGACATCTTGTTGGACGAAGACTGCAGCGTGGAGGCAAGGATAAGCTCCCCTTGAAACGAGCATGATGGGAAAGGAAAATTAGGGTGGTGAACTCAACTGAAGTGTACCTTTTTTTTTTAAAGGCTCTGCCAGACAAAGAGGGCAAAAAGTGTCTGTTCTTCATCAGATCCTCACACAAGAGTTTTGAAATCAGCGCCTCAGATAAGAAGAAGAAGCAGGAGTGGATTCAGGGTGAGTGTTTGACCTCGTCGGAACAGCCTCATTCCAAATTAGGAATATAATTGCATTCCCTTTCCCTTGAAATTCTACACACACCACCGTCATGTCAACTTGGGGGGGGACATTTTTTTTTAGCATTTCGGGATGTTGTATGGAAAATTCTTGAGGGAGAAAGAGATTTTTTGGAATCCGTTTTGGAATGAGTCTGTCACAACTAAATGTGTGACATGACAAAAACTTGCGAGATGAAACTAAAATGTGCTCGAACCTTTACAGGTGAACTTGTTTGACCTCTAAAAGCCAGATAGCCCCAAATCGTTGTGAATAGTGTGCACCTGTGTTTTGGCTTTAGCCATCCAGACGTGCGTGAGCCTGCTGCGAGCGGGCCGCCAGGCGCCGCACCGCGAGTCGCGCCACAAACGTCGCGAGCTGCGCCTCAAGCAGCAGGCCGACCAGGAGGAGCTGCGGACCAGGATGAAGGAGCTGCAGACGGCCAACGAGGCCAAGCAGCATGAGCTGGAAGACATGAGGAAGGTGAGGATCACCAAGTGTAGTCGTACATGGGGTCAGTGAGTGGAGTAAATGCTCAAAAAGCGTTCCATAGATGGGCAACCTTCCTTGTCGATGAAAACTTGCCGAGGTGCGAAGCAGCCACTTTGTTATTCTAAACAGCGCCATTGTTCTACAATGCTGCAGTTAGTTGCCCTCTCGGGCCAGTTTGACGCCACCCCATGAATACAAATAGCATCCACGAATCCCTCTCACCCTCCTTCCACCCCCGCCCACCCCAGCTCATGAATAATGTGCCGCTTCTTGTCATGCAGGAATGCAGAATGAACAGGGTCGGTCACCATTGAACACGTTTTTCCAGTTTGTATCCCCAAAGCGGACCGTCGGGCAGACTGCCGACGTGGTTCATGGTGCTCAAGCACCTGCTCTGTGATTGGCACTCATGTTAGCGTTAGCGATAGCAACTTTGAAGTCATCTTGACGTGAGCTTAATTGAATCATCCACCAACAGTAATGTCGAAAGTACATACTTTGTTACTTTACTGTACTTTAGTAGACTTTTTTTTCTGTATTTAGTGCTCCTTACGTTGTCAAAATAGGGTCGTTAAAAAAAAAAGGTGTAAAATGGTACCTTGGTAGAGATCTGGATTAATTGAGATGATGGGGTCTTATCAAGCAGAAGATGTCGGGACAGAAAGAACATTCTGTTGTGCCAGCCTCAGAAACACCAAATATATTTTTAAGTTCTTGTCACTGAGCAATGTATTTTTGTTTTGTTTTTTGTTACTTAGTTCACAACCTGAGCAAAGCTAAAGAAACACGTTTTGAGAGCACAAACGTTCACTCACCGCTGTTGTAACTGGACTTGTAACATGTTTTGTTTTTCCTTCTCGGAATGAGCCCTATCGAATTAAAAGGGGAAGTCCATCCAACCAGCCATTATCCGATCCCGCTTATCCTCACAAGGGTGGCGGGGCGTGCTGGAGCCGATCACACCTGTCTTCGGGCAGCCGGCGGGGGACACCCTGAACCGGTTGCCAGTCAACCGCCGGGCACACATAGACAAACAACCATTCGCAATCACACCTAGGGACAATTTCGAGTGTTTCATTAACCTGCCATGCAGGTTTTTGGAATGTGGGAGGAAACCGGAGCACCCGGAGAAAACCCATGGGGGGAACATGCAAACACCACACAGGAAGGCCCAATCGAATCCCGCATCTCTCCGCACTGTGAGGCGGAAGTGTTAACCAGTCTACCACCATGCTGCTTAAAGCGAACGTCAACTCCCAACATTTCTTAACAATCGAAATGTCAAACCATATTAATACCCGAACCCCGAAACCGATTCTATTTCTATTATTTCCAATGTGGGGAAACCGGAACAGATTGGGATTCACCGTTGTTCAAGTGGGTGCACAGCGCGTGCGAGTGTGCGTCCGACATTCTGGTGTGCTCACTGGCTGACACACTTTGTCTTGGTGCTGAATGCACAAGCATTTGCCATTGAGGTGCCACTCTTTTGTCCGGCATAGTTTGTGACTGCATGAATGAACGATGAGACCATGCGCACGCTACGTAACACAATGTCAGACGCTGCACAGAAGTAAATGGAGTGCTTTATTAGTTTTGTTTGTTGCCATTGATCATTGTATTCTCTCTCTCTCTCTCTCTCTCACACACACTCTTGAAAAGTATGTATTGATGTTTTTTTTTTTTTTTTGGTGTCATTTATCTCACTAGATGATTGTAAATAATATATCACATAACTCCGGGTATAATCTGTTGGCCAGATGATTTTGATGTTTTTGGAATGTTTTTTCTAAAGCTCGGAAAAGAAGACAAGAGACTGTTTTGGACAAAAAGGTTTTTGTTGTACTTTGGCGCTGGCGGCAGGTCAATTTGTTCGTTTGGTGTCTTGTAAGCGTGTATGCGTGACACGATCATAAAAATGTCATTCATTCATTCTGTGGTCATGGTCAGGCTCTGGAGGAAGCGGCAGCCAACGCGGCGGAGGAAGAGCGGCGGCGACTTCAGACTCAGGCCGACCTCCAGGACCGCTACCGGGTGGACCTGGAGAGAGAGAAGATGGTGTGTGTGTGTGTGTGCGTCGACCCTCATCCGGCTTCACGTTCAGTGGACACAACATTAGGTACACCCTTGCGTGTGTGCTCTACACGTGTTCAGGTGAGGCAACAGATGGAGGAGCAGGTGGCCCAGAAATCCACGGAACTGGAGCAGTACCTGCAGAGGGTCCGAGAAATGGAGGACATGTACCGGCGGCTGGAGGACGCCTTGGAGGACGAGCGGCGCGCCCGCCAGGATGAGGAGACCGTCCGCAAGCTGCAGGCCAGGTCAGTGGATTCAAAATATGACAAAATGTTTGTCGGTCCAGTGGTGTCGCAAAGGATTCATCGATTAAGCGACAACTCGTGTACATGTCAAGAGCAAATTTTAATCAGTGATGGCTGCTGATTTAAAAAATGTATTCTTTTTTTTTTTTGGGATCACGTTTTTGAGATTTTCATCTTTTGGTTTTAAGTTTGACCTGTAAAAGTTGCCCAGCATGGATTTTACCACGCGTCGTGTAATTTATAGCAATGAGGTTTCAGACAAATTCCACCTGCTACTGAACCGTCCTCAAATTGCATTTTATCAGAATCATCACCGTCGAGACCTGCAAGTTTCTCTTGTTATATATAACTCTTATTATTATTAATAATAATTATAATAATAATAATATGAAACCCTGATGTGCTAGAGGAAACGAGCGCAAATTGACGGCTTATTTCTACTTAAGACTTTTTTGTAGATCTCATAGTGCAGATGTCTATCAAATTACATGTACCAGTTTCTAACTAAAACCGCTTCAGGGGATGAATTATGAAAAAAAAAATCCACAAAAAAATTCAGTCAAATGAAGGGTAAATACAAATTTTTATCTCCTGGGAAGAATGGTGGCCTCATTAAATGGTCTCACAAGCAGTCACATATTCAAGTTCCTCTTTGACCTTCCTTCCTCTCTGCTGACGTTAACTTTCCCGACCAGGGAGCGACTGAGTCGGCACCGTTTGACAAAACAACAGACGCTGAGTGTTCAAAGTGGACCACACGGAGAGTGCAGTGGGTTGCAAAATGGCTTCTGTGAAACTGCCCCCCACTCGTTTGCAAGATGAAACTTGGGGTCCACAAAATAGTTTGCAATTAGTAATTATCTTGAGAGGATAAAGAATATATGCCATTCAGTATTGTTACATTTTCTGTTGTGCGTTCGTGGTCAAATATCCATTGCTTATATAACACTACAGTGTTGCTGCTGGTTTCATTAGCCTGTCTATGGCGTACTGATGAATCCCCATCGTGATGTGATGCGACAGCACCACCTGTTGGCTGCGCTTGCTACTTTCCAAAGGTTACAGTGGGAACTTGAACAAAGTTGTTTGAGTAACTTTGTAATATTTCAACTGTATTACTCGTCGAAAAAGTTCACCACCGTTAATACAACAGTCAAATGTACAAAAACAACTCTGCTTTAACGTCAATGATGAATGACACGTTTAGTGACAAAATGATTGATGTGTTGTCGTTACGCCTCATTTTATATTTTGCCATTAAAATGCTTTTTTTTTTTTTTTTTTTTTAAACAAGACGATGGTCCAGCTCATTAGAATATGATGTTGAAAAAATGAAAATTATTGAGTAAAATATAAGAGTTTACTCTAATAATAAAATCTCACCTCAGGTGTAAACAGGTGACCAAAGATCTTCATTCGGCATGATTTCATTCAGAATGCCCAAAATGTCTCCATGTAAACCTGACTGCCCACCATCGTATCTTCCTCACTCCCTGTCCTTCTTCTTCCCACTGGCATACACATGCTCCCTACAGCCCCCTCTCAGGTGTGGGTGGCGATACACACCCAAAAGCAAAGTAGTCACACAATCCACACCAACCCCCCCCTCCCCCAAACAAAAAACAAAAAAACAGACTGTCAGTTACACTAACTTTTATTTTGAAGTTGGCCCTCAGAAGCAATTTTTGTGGCGCCTGACCTGATTTGAACTGTAGCGCAATATTCAATTTCCAGTACACATGCACACCGGCGCACCACTTATATACGGGGCTCCAGACGGCCCTTAAATGTTGACAGTCTGGAATCTATAAAATTTGAGACGGTGCAACTAAATTTCTCACCTACTCGCACCACTAAACCAATAATTTCTCTGACCAATTTGCAAATTTTTTTTTGTTGTAGAATATTTTTTTTTTGCTGACAACCTTCTGCTCCACTCTTATGCCCATTTATCAGTAACGTGAAGTAAAAACTATTGGCGATCTGAATATTTTTGTAATTTATGCATGTGTCCTGATAATTTGTACTCAATTTTGGGTTAGGCGACACTGTGTTCTTCGTAAGAAATAGTCTGCGCACACACATATAAAAATAAGTGTGTACTGTTTATGTATAGCGGTTACCATTCGCCGCTAACGGTGGCATCGGTTGGCGCAGGTTGCTGGAGGAGGAATCAGCCAAGCGGGCCGAGCTGGAGGAGATCCACCTGAGGCAGCAGCAAGCAATCTCGGAAACGGAGGCCGAGAAACAGGAACTGCAAAAGGAGCGGCTGGCAAAGGACAATGCCCTGAGGGATGCCATGATGCAGCTGCAGCAGCTGGAGCAGGACAGGCAGGGGGCGCTGGAGCAGTACCAGGTCGGATCATGCAAACCCCAGTCACAAAATGATGAAGAGTAGATGATTCTGATCATGATGTTATTTTTTTGGCGTGAGTCAGACGGTGATGAAGAAGCTGGAGGACGCCACCAATAACACAAAGACGTGGAAGCACAAAGTGGCCGAACACGAGGGCTTCTTGCGCCTCATTCAGCCAGGTAACCTGGAAAATGTCTTTTCTCTGCAAATGTCACAAGATTTCCTCTTTTTTTAAATCTAATATTGGGTGTTTTTTTATTGACCAGTTTGGCAGTACTGTCCTATTTTCGTACAGTAAAAATGATATAAACTTTGTTGTAGTTTGTCTCATCATCCCTTTTTTTCCGTTCAATATTTTTATCATTTTTGTTTTTTTCCTTTAATATATATCTCTATTTTTATTTTCTCATATAGTTGTAGTAATAATCGCTCTTATTGTCCACTTTTCATCATTGTATTCTTGTAATATTTATGCATTACTCTTCTAATATTTCTCAGAATTGCATATTTGTAATCTACTGTTTTATTCGGATCATATTTTTGTATTTTTCGTCTTTTTGCATTTTTCATTCCAAGATTTTTTTGGGGTGTAGTTTCATCCACTATGTTTTAATATTTCAATATTTTTCATGGAATCTTTAAGTATTTTTTATCCCAAATTTGTGTTCACTACTGGTCCAGTTTTCCTTAAAAGTCACATTTGTGTATTTTTGGTCAACGGGCTGTCACTTGTATGGCACTTTTCTAACTTCTGCACTCCAAGTGCCTTCCACTGTTCTGCCATTTACTGTACCGACTGATGACGCAGCATTAGGCGCAACTGGGAGTTCAGTATCTTGCCGAAGGACACTTCCACAGGGTCACGATGGGGATCGAACTCCCAACGATCACTCTCCGACTGAACCATGCCGCCCAGAACATGAATATTCTTGTAGCTCTGGATGTGTCACTATGTATGCAATCAGAGCTGATGAACCTTCTTCCTTTCCGACCTGTCAGGCTCCAAGGCTCATCAGATGATCACAAACTGGGGCCCGGCCGCCTTCTCGGATGCCGAGTTGAGCCTGAGGGAGAAGAAATGGCAGGAAATGAAGAACCAGGTGACACCGGCGCAGTAGCCGACAACTGCGACATCAATGCTACGTTAGCAATGCTAACGGCTAAATTGCGGCGGGAAAGGAAATACTGTCATTAATCTGATGTTTTGTACACGCTGTTCTTACCACCTACCTAAATGTTAGGCAACCAAAATATTAACTTATGTCAACTTCATTAATTGCGGCCGTACCTAATCAAGTGTCCAGTGAGCCTACTTTTTGTCACTCCTAATTGAGATTAATATGGAAAAATGGAGGCGGACTGGTTAGCACGTCCACCTCACAGCGCAGAGGTCGCGGGTCCCCTGCCTTCCAGTGTGAAGTTTGCATGTTCTCCCCGTGCCTGCGTGGGTTTTCTCCGGGTACTCCGGTTTCCTCCCACATTCCAAAAACATGCACGGTAGGTTAATGGAACACTCGAAATTGTCCGAAGGTGTTGATGTGAGCGTGAATGGTTATTCGTCACTGTGTGCCCTGCGATTGGCTGCAACCTGCCGACTGACTGAGGATAGCTGGCATCGGCTCCAGCACGCCCGCGACTCTCGACAGGATAAGCGGATTAGATCATGGATGGATGGATGGAACCGTGGATGTAAATATGTTATATTTAACTCGGAGTACATTCAGCGCACATGCTAATAATAACGAGTGAACCTTTTAAGACCGCTGTATTTAGCGTAACTTGAGCGTGTTGCCATTTTAAAAATGTGAACAAATATTAAAATGTGGAATTAAAAAAAAAATTGTTGAAACTGAGTGAACCGTCTTGAATTTGAGCACATGATGATTTTTGGTTCTGCTTTTCGTATCAGTTTGAGGCTGCCTATCAGTTTCAGTAAGCGACGACACACTGGCTGCATCAAAGCATATTCCATCGTCAAACAGTTTCGTATTCTTCACGTTAATGTCCAGAAGCCAAAACGGAACTGCCTCCTGAATATGTTCATGTACACTCACTTTGAGCACTTAAATCCATTGTAGGTGTTTTTTAAACATACAGTATTTAAATTATTCTGTTCTGGGCAACAATGCTTTACCTTATTTTGTGTGTGTGTGTGTGTGTGTGTGTGTGTGTGTGTGTGTGTGTGTGTGTGTGTGTGTGTGTGTGGTGAAGGAGTTTCAAATGGGTAGAAAATGTGCAGTAAATTTCTGTGACCTTTCCACATCACGCTTCCATTTTTTTGGTCGTACCTGTAGTAGTTTGGCAAATTATTTTTTAACTCATTTTTATGTCATGTTTAATTGTTTTTTTCTAATTTGTGTATTTTTTCCATCTGATATTTTTGTAATGATATTCCAACATTTTCTTACCAAATAGGGACCGCTCGCTGCGAGGACCCTTTTGTTTTTGGTGGCAATTATTCTTCTTATTATTTTCAAAAATTAATCGAATTCTTGCTTAACTAAACGTGCACGAAAACTTTGCACCATATTCGGGCCTGGTGATAAATTTGACATTTTAAAGGCGTTATAAACGATGAAAACAAAACAACGCTGAAGCGCCCACCTAGAATGGAAAAATAAAAACTCATTTGACCTCGGCCGAGATATTTCAGCATTCTCAACAGAATTGAAGGTGAAACCAAACACTTTCTCTGTTTGTTTTGCCTGAAAATTCCCATACTTTAGTGATTTTCCTGGAAAAAAAAATAAACTTGATCACTCAAAAAAGAAAAAAAAAATTAATTTACTGTTGGCACAAGACTTCCAGTTTGTAAATAGACATGATCCGACCTTCAACAGCAGGGGGCGGCACAGACACCAGAGAGTAAACCCAAATGGTCAACAAGGTGAAATCCGAGTGAAGGAAAACGACAATATCTGACATCAATTATTTGGAACACGACTGAAGGAATGACAAGGCCAAATTCCAAAGTGTTTGCTTCATGTTGCGTGACGGCAGTTTTTGCGGAGCATCTGGACCGACACTGGAGTCAGTCGTTAAAAAAAACCAAAAAAAAAAAAAAAAAACCTGTAGGATTGGTCATGTCAAGCTTAAAAAAAAAAGCATTTGCAAGATTGCGAAGACAAAAAGCAGGCCGGGATTTCACTTGGTCCAAAAAGACAAAGAAGACACCCACTGTAGTACAGGGTGTCCCGAAATCACTTATCCACTCCCTTTTTTTCGGTTTCATTTGGACAAACACTGAACTCGAGCAGGTGTTTGTGCAAAGTCAGCTCGATTCTGTGTCCTGGCCTTCCTGTGTTGAGTTTGCATGTTCTTCCCTGTGCCTGCGTGGGTTTTCTCCGGGTACTCCGGTTTCCTCCCACAGTCCAAAAACATGCATGACAGGCTGATAACCACTCAAATTTGTCCCTATGTGTGACTGTGAGCGCAAATCATTTGTCTACTGGCAACCCTAACCCTAGTTTACAACCCCATTTTGAAACCCTAACCCTAATTTAAAACCCTACTTTGAAACCCTGACACGAATTTAACCCTTTCAGGGGACAGCAGTTGCTACAGTGGACAGCTTCTCATGTTATCAAGTCACAGGATGCATGAAAGGCTTAAAACCCGAGTTTGAAACCCCTAACCCAAGTTTACACCACCACTTTGAAACCATAACCCTTGTTAAAAACCCTGACGCCAGTTTAAAACCCGACTATTAAACCCCAACTAAGCCTTCTGTGAAAGGCCATACAGATGAAAAAAAGGTTGAGCAGTCAAATGGGATTCATGTCTTATTTATGACACAACACCAATACTAAAACGATACCGAACAAACTTGCTCTAAAAATGAGTATAGAATAAGGGCGGCACGGGGCAGACTGCACACTTTCCTCTCACATTCCAAAAACATGCATGGTAAGTGAGTTGAACATTGAATTGTCTGGCTGTGATTGTGAATGTGAGTTTTTTTTTTTGTCTTTGTGTGCCTTGCGATTGGCTGGCAACGAGTTCAGGGTGTCCCTTTCCCACTGCACGAAGATGGCTGGGATAGGCACGCTCGAGACCGGTTCGGGTTAATACATGGATACATTTTTTTTTTAAATCCAGCATCCCGAAAAAATATGGAACAAAGCAAAGTTAAGCACTACCTGGAGGGTAAGGATAATAATTACCATGTGCCCCCCCCCAAAGACTGACGTCTGGCGACAGCTCATGTCTGTCCCAATGCTACCTGACACGAAACATAAAGTTAGCACCGTCGATGGCGTTTTTAAAAATGAGTCAAATAAATCCTCGATTTGAAAACGTATCTGTGGGGGGAAAATAAAAAATCCCCTCGCTCAGCCCCCCGCTTCGTTCTTGCTATCGTGCTAGCGCGCCGCCACTGCCCAAACAAAGCGTAAAAACAATGTGGCGTCCAGATGCGCTCGGCACACAGGCTTTTATGCAACAAGACGTAGCATCATTAACGCTGAATGACGCGCCACATGTGCACTGTCAAAGCCCCCCCCCCCCCTCCTTCCTCCCTCTTCCCCATCACCCCCAGCGGCGCCTGCATCCCATCATGCCTCGGGCTCTTCAAACATCCTTGCACCGGAGGTTACGAGCATTGCGGCTCGCGTGCCGCATTCCAGCGACGTGATGCAAAGCAGAATTGCTCTAAACTCTCGCAGGGGGTGCGAGTCGGTGCGCATACGTTGGGAAATAAGAGTTCAAAAGTTGGGTTAAGGGGGTCTCATTGCTCCCGCCCCCTGAGCATCTTCGATGCAAAAACCTCGGTGGAATTTCCAACATGAGTGTTAGGAATGTCAAGTATGTGCGGCGAAACGGCGCGGAACAGCGCGCCGGACAATTGATGCACCCCTGGGGGTGCCGCGGGGAGGGCAAGCATCTGGCGGGGGAGAGGAGACCAAAATGGCCGATCACTGCATCCTCGCTGTGTACGTCTCCGAGGGTGAATCAAACCAACTCGCAGGATTTCAAACAGATGTTGTTGAGGAAAATAAAATACGGGAATAAAAAGTTTATCAGCGGGCTCCGACATACGGCCATAGAATACAAATGTTTTTTTTATTTTCATTTTTAAACATAATATGCAATTTTGATCAAATAGAAATTTGTGCACTAAATGCGCAGGTTTGACGCTGGAATATGTGATTCATCAATGTCTTCATATTTGAATTTGTGCGTATTCGGCGAAAACATTTCGAGCATTGTCAGGCCATGCATACGCCAGGGGCGTGCAAAGGGCGCAGGCAATGGAGCGGGCATCTACCCCCCCCACATACACACACACACACACAACACGCATTGAGTCAAGCATTTGCCCTTTGAGTGGGCGTGGCCTATGCAAATAAAGGTGCAGCAAGCACGCCCTGTCATTCAGAATGAATTCTGATTCAACATTTGCATAATATTGTAATAATTTTGCACTTATTTCGTTCGTTTTAATTTGCTTTTATACAGAAAAAAAACTTGATTCAGTTTTAGTCTTTTTGATGTGTGGCTTTTGTTGAGCGTGAGACAAAAAAAAAAGTCACAATAAGTATTGTGTCGTTAAAAACTAAAAAAACAAAAGTCACGAACAGATGAACGACCAACCACAAATAAAATATACATACACACATAAAAAAAAAAAAAAAATCAACCCTAAAATAGCTTGCATATCGAAAAATGTATAAATAAGGCCACTCGCATTTCAAGGCCCCATTGCAACCGTACAAATAGATTTTACTGTCTCTGATTGTATATTGTTGTCTATTGATCATTTAGATTTTTTTGCACTTTTTATGGTCCATTGCAAATCTTGTTCTCGTTTCGAAAATGACTTTTATGTTTCGCCTTCCCAATACGGGATCGATGATGGCTGTTAACCAATCTGAATTTTGTGACGCGTGACGGCGAGAGCACATGTGCAAGGGTGCAGGATGAGGGACTTTGTTACAGAGAGACCCTGTCTCCAATTCGCCAGGTTGACCGAGGCGGAACTTTACCCGTTTGCTCGCAACACCTCAAAACAAATGATGACAAGAAAATGCCTTTGACCTATATATGTCTTCAAGGTCAGGCTCATACTCCGCCTATGTAGGCTGCGCTCAATCAGCGGACAAATGCAAAGTAGGACACCCAGTCAAAGATGCGCCCAGACAGAATAAATAAGCAGCGAACTCGTTTGAGAGGACGGCTCG